AATAACATGCCTTGGTTTGGCATGTTACTATTTTGTTACTCGTCCCTTTGTACTCCTGTCCCTTTTCCAACTTCCTCTTTCAACTTACCTTGAATATTTTTTTTCTCAAAGGACAAGGGTAAGGATGGAGAAAATAAATTTTCTTTCTCTTTTTCTCTTTCAACTAGTACTCTAATTGTTTGGCTAGAAAATAAAAACATGTGTTTGTTGTTACTGATGTAGGTTTTCAAATTCTATTATGCCATTCCAGTGCATAAAAACCAAATCTCAACATTCTTAGTGACTAAATATTGGCAGTACTGTATGCAGATGCTGGAAGGAGATCTGGAACAGATTATAATCTAACTTTTAGAAATAAATAGAGCATGCACCATTAATATTCCACATAAAAGTGACTGTTTTATATGGGCATCTTGAACAACTGAAACCTTTCTCTAGATACAGATGTCAAGGTGGGAGAATGTACTGCTTTATCTGCTTATTAGAACTTCTAATTCACCTACCTGTGCTGAAAGAGTTGTAAATTCTATCCTACTTTCTCCCAGCTGAAGAGTGGTAACAATGAACATTTTTTTCTGAAATGCAGCAGAACCTTTCTTTGTGTGGGGGTAAGAGCAACATCCAACTTGCTTGTGAAGAGAAGGAATAGTAAAGCTGAGTTCGTGTGCCATTTGTGTACAGCTACTCAATTAGCAAACTGATCTCCAAACATTTTTTCTCTCCCAGAGCTCTTGGTCATTGGAATGGTGCTCTTAAAGCAGTGAATTTTAGGCAATTTAATGTAAAAAAACTCTAAGGGCTTTTTTCTAAGAGCTTTTTCAAGCTGTTAACAGGCTTCATTGTGTGCTTCAAGTAAATTTTAGGTTCATGTTTCTTCTTAAAAACATTTTAGTGAAGCTCTACTTTCTAATTCAGTGCTAGACTTGTGCTCCCTTGTGCTGCCTTCAAGCTGTTAAATGTGCTTATTGTATTCCACCAATGTAATACAATTCTGTACAGAATTGTAGTGAATATATGTTGGTAGACTAGTTGAAAAGTTTGACTGCTTCATCAAGTTGTCTTACACCATATATACATCCTCTAGATTAGTTCTAGCATCCACAGTCTGATTTGGTAGAGCTTTGTGACCTGTTTGCAAATACCTCACTGATATGTAATGCAATAGGCATATTTCAATCTTTAGTGAAGTTGAAACACAGATGGGTTCATGTTGTGACTTTTTCAGTATTTGAGCTTGACTTCTGTCTGTTGACTCCACATATTCTATCCCTACAAACTGAATTAGTGAAGTGTCAAATTGGAGTGGTAAAAAGAAACACTGTTTATAAATAACCCCTGCATTTATTGTTGGTTATAGAATGGTAACTGTCAGGCTTTCTGGTTCAAATTTTATGTTCTTCATGCTGTATTTATTTTAGATTAATCAGCTTTGAAAAATTGACTTCTTTGCCTCTTGCAATATGAATGTGATAGAAAGCTATTCAAGTTATTGCAGAATTTTTGATGTGTGTCATTCACTGAACAATAATTGAGAATTGAGGAATTTGTAAAGGATTAAGATTATGTTTCTCAAAAACATATCAAATACTGGAAAATATCATCTTAATATTGTAATTGTACAATATGTTTTTCACTAAATTTAAGCTAGACAGCTGTTCTATCCTTCAAAACACTTTCTGAAAAGAATACAGTGGCATATACTGTCTACAGCTTCCTCACAAGGGGAAGAGGAGGTGCAGACTCTGCTCTCTTCTCTGAAGTGGCCAGGAATAGGACACAAAGGAATGGCATGAAGCTTTTTGAGGGGTTTAGGTTTGATATCAGGAAAAAGATGTTCACCTGAATGTTGATTGGGCACTGGAACAGATCCTCAGGGTAATGGTCGCACTACCAAGCCTGACAGAATTAAAGAAATGTTTGGACAATGCTCTCTGGCACATGGTGTCATTCTTGGGGTGTCCTGTGCAGGGCCAGGAGTTGGACTTGATGGTCCTTGTGGGTCCCTTCCAACTCAGCATATTTTCTAATTCTACTTAGAGTCAGTGAGCTGAGGCGTAACCTTGAAGCATACAAACCTTGTAAATATGTATGTACGTGGTGAATATTTTAAAGTACAAAGTAAATTAACACTAGAAAGAGATTTGAGTTTTTGATAGTCAAGTTTGTTAGTTTGCCCTGTTAAATCTCCTTTCCTTTCCAGTCTGTTATCTGGCCCAGATATATTGCAGTTTTGGAGTGATAGACAATGGGGAAAACTTGGTCTTTTTGGCTCTTGAAGGAAATACTGAAGATTAAAGTAAAGCTATATATGTCCAGGCATATTGATCCAGAAAGAACAACTGTCTTTCTGTAAATGAGTGAGGTATTTTTTGCCAAATTCTCAGTGTATTCACTTGGCCAACAGCAGTGCCATGAAGAGATATCTAGGTTGCATCTTAGTGATAAGCTTGAGTCTGTTACCCTATATGTAGGAAAGCAGGATCTGATCAAAGTGGCATCAATGTGACTGAATTTTGTGGATGAAGTCCTCTGTGAAAGGAGGTTTCTGGGAACATTATTCTTTCCTTCTGTCTAAATCTGAGAATTTGAGTTAGAAAAAAATTATACCTCTAAGACTCAAATCTGATCTACAAGGTTTAGTCTTGCTTGTGCTAAGAAGAAAAGTAGACTTGCATAATGCAAACCTTGTAATCAGAGAAGTGTGTAAACCTCTTATTTGACAAATCACTCCTGCTATATATTTATGTACTAATATTTATTTTATAACAGTGCTTATTATGTGTTCTTTTCTCTGATGATTTTACTGAAGCACCTGTTCAGCTCAAATTGATTTAAATTCACCTGTGCAGTTAGGATAGAATTATAATCTAAAAATCCAGTTGTATTGTAGTTATCTGCTACATCTTTCAATGTAATTGGTATAATCCAGTGCACTTTCAAATGGAAGTGAGGGCAGAAATTATCTTGCAGTACCTATATTATCCACACTTAATTGTACAGAAAGTACACTTGACCCAAATTCTCAGCTAATGTGAAGCTGTAACTTAAGAATAAGCTGAGGAAATGTTACCTGTGACTTGAACTAAATGGGTATGTTTTGGCAAGTGAGGAGTCAGACACTGACATTCAGTGGTGAAATGGCTTTGTTTTGTGAATAAATGTAAAATCTGAAATATTGATATTCCCCTTCCATATAAAAACATAGATTGAGCTGCAGAAGTATGAAAATTGACTGTTGTAGCTGTGACACTCACTCAAAACAGTGGAGTCTATCAGAAGACAGGGGTAACTTAAGACAGGAAACTTTAATTTGAAGCCCTAGGATATAAAGTGAACCTTTCTGAAAGAGCTGAAAGCAATATTTTTTAATTATTTTAGTACTTTGAATAGAATAGTAAATGATTATTCTTGAAAGCCCTTATGATTTGTAAATGATTATCTAATTTTCTTTCTAATTTGAGAATTTTCTGGTATTTTACATGAAAATAATTGGAAAGCTCATTATGATGCAAGTCTTGCTGGTGTTGTCTTTCAATTTGTAAATAATAGAAGCTAATAGCAGATTGGTGTTTGCAGATGAAGCAATCTTCAATTAAATCCCAGTTTGCCTGTACGTATAAAAATGATTTGAGTGAAAAGAATGGTCAGCATTCCCATGCAATTCCAACCTGCAAACATCCTGCACCAAAGCAACATTTAAAAGCTGGAAAGCCCACAGGTAAGCTATGGTAGGATTGAATAAATAAATGTGATGGGTAATACTTTAAATGCTATCCAAAAAGCCTTTAGTATAACTCAAATGTTTTCAAGGAAAGGAACAAAAATATCTCATTGTTCTCAGTGTCTCATATGCCTGTTAAATCTTTTTGCAATAAAATTGTAATGCCAATGCTTTGAAAATATGTTTGAAAAGTGTGCTGATGCTGTCTTCAGTGATATATGTTGCATTTATGACATATTTGTTCTTATTCTACAAAAGTAAGCCAAGTGCAATTTATATTTTTGCCATTAAAAAGGGGGAAAATTTGTTTTACTGCACTACAAACTATATATAATATAATATATAAAATTTCTATGCCCTTTAACCCTCTCTTTCAATATCTTAAAGTTATAAATCCACTTCCCTAAATTAGTTCTTACATGTTTTTGAGCAATGTAATTTTAAATTGGCAATGCACTTATGAACACATAGCAAATTTAATAGCAATGACCAGGATAGCTTTGTTTTATTGGTAATACATTATTTTTGATTAAAAAAAATAACATGGCAGTCCTTATAGAAAAAGGATGTATGTTCCCAGGTAACTTTTTATTTCCTCACATATGTTTTTGATATTCTTACATGACAGAAGGTCCAAATTCATATCTTGATGTACCAGGGCTTGGAACTATTTCTGAAAGTGTTCACCAGACTAGAAGCTATACAGAAATGGGAAAGCTGAGTTGTCAGCCAAGGAACAAGAACTCTGAGAATGAACAGATGGATTTGAATAATGACAAAATAATCTGTGACAAGGAAAGTGAACCATCTTTGCAAAAAAATACTAAAAGACTTAAGACTTCAAACAGCTCTAAGAAGGAATTGGACAGCAAAATTGGTGGGAAAAGAAAACAGACCAAAACTGCAAGTAAGAATAAGTTGATTGCTGGTCAGTCAAAATTAACTCGCTTTTTTCAACTCTAAGTTTGTTTTCACATGCATGATATATTGACAGTTGTAAAATTTTGCAAAAAAAAAAAAAGAAACTTATGAATTACTTCTTTCCATACATAAATAATTGAAAGTAGCTTGTATATTATAGTAGACAACTACTTACAAGTCTGGATTATGCTGAAGTATTTTATTTTTGAATAACAGTACATTGTTAATAATTACACTGTTATTTTGGTTAATAAATTATGTATCTCTCTACAATGCAATGGGAAACTATTTTTGGATATGTATGTACAGTTGCACTAACACTTAGTAACTTCAAATGACATTAAATTCAGAATAAAATGTTTAATCTTCAGAGAAGGTGGTGGATGTGAGTGGTTTTCACACTTGCCAACAAGGTCGATAGACTCTTCCCAGCATACACCTGAGGACTACAGGAAAAAAAGGAGCTTGAAAGTTTAAATCATCAAAGAATCAGATTTCTTATGGCTTCTGGAAATATTAATTTAAGAAATGCTCCCTCCCCCATACCCTAAATCATAACAGTCATGGAAGTCTCTAAATGAACCTTTACCAAATTGCTATATTGATATTGCAGTGTACTTTACCAGAATGAAATAATTTTTCATGGAAAAATAAAACATATTTACTGTCAAAATCTCTTCTTCCTATAGGGAATTTAGCTGAATTTTCTTCATCTGTAGTCTCTCTTTCCTCTATTGACTCAATATTTTGAAATTTAGTGTCAGGTGGAAAAGCCATGGCTCCCTTCAGTGCAGGATAAGGTAGTTGCTTTCTACCTAAGTTGGTTGGCTGAACATGATTGAAGAAATCATGTCTGGAACCTCTGTCCTGTTTTGAGGGCAGACAAGAAGTTTATTTAAAGCCAGTTGTATCACATTTTGTTCTTTATACTTCAACAGTGAAGTTGCTTTTTATGTTTCAAAATCATACATTAATAGTAATGACCTGTATTACATCTTTGGCCAAAATGGTTTAATTGACATAATTAAATAATGAGTCTTGTGTTTGGCAATGTTAAAAACCTGTTGCTGCATACAGGGACATCATCAAATATAAATATAAGTTTCTTATCCCTTCCCCCCACTCTCATCCTTCAAGTTTTGGCTACTATTTGTGAAAATCAGATTTAATTAAACTCTCCAAGTTACACATTTAGAATCTTGGCATTAGCTATATAGAGTTGAATTTTTTTTTTCTTGACTATGTTATATTAAACTGATATTTTTATATATTTTCCTGGTTAATGCTTTAAATTGTTGTACTTGTTTTCTAAAGGAGTATAAATTAATTTCAATTTTACAATTAAGCCAAAATTTAAAACTGAACTCACCAAAACCTTCATGTTTCCAGCATTCTTATCACTGAAAACACTGCTGTCTTCAGTCTTGTAATGCTTCAGCAAAGGTATAGCTCCCCTACTGATACTTTTGTCTCCATCTTGTAGAATTTTTCCTAGATTTAATGCAGTTAGCAACAAGTCTTCATCTTCTACCTCTTGAAGAGACTTTGAGAGTAGAAAACCTTGAGAAAAAAGAGAGAGAAAGGAGAGAATTAGGATATATGATGAGATGCACATTTTTAGTTATTTAACTCTTGTATAGAGGTTTGGCACTTCTTAAATTCTAAGAAAGCTTTTCCAGTGGTAAAAAATTGTTTTCCGTTTCTGTAATGGCACACTTTATATATTTTACAGGCTGAATGGAAACTACTTCAGTGGCTGACGAGTTCATGCTTTTCAAATGACTCATTTTAAGGAGTAACCTTTTCCATAATCCTTCTAATCCCACCTGTTTAGAAGTAAAATATTTCTTTGTCATACCTAATTTGTTTCTTTGTGTGTTTTTAGAGCAGATTAGTTCCTTTTGGTGGATCAGTACAACAAAGTTTACAGAAAAATTGATGTCCATTTGTGCTGTTTATAAAGCCTTACCTCTGGTTAAGGCAATTTAAGAAGAGGAATTAATCTATATAAGTAAGCAGGATTGTTGAAAAGCTGTGATGCCTCATAGTTTTGATCAAAACTGGATTCACTAAAGAGCTGAAATTCTGGAAATTTGATGATAGCTTAGACTACTACTGTGTTAAATCTAAAATAATGTGTATTTTGATGTCGATGTCAGGTTACATTATACAGAGCTAATGGCTAGAAATATTTATTAGTACGTAATTAACTATGTTTGTATTTTCTTACTGAAAGTGGATCTTTCTCTGCTACAAATATAACATAGTCAAATATGCTTGCTAAGAATGTAGAAAGAAAACTCCAGATTTTCATTTAAAATGCCTTTGAAATGTATCTACTGCCCTGTGGAAGGAAATGTAGAAATTTCTGCGTACTGTTGTCTTGTTACAGTTTGATGGGGCTGTGGTTTTTTTTGTTGTTGTTGCTGGCTGTTTTTGTTTGGTTTGGGGTTTTCTGCTTTATCTGGGAAGTGAATAGGGCCAGCTGAAATTGAGCTAATCTCTTAATGTCAGTGCTAGAAACCACACATTCGTTGACTGTTGACTGTGTGTCTCTTAGCTAGTACTTCAGGTTTTATTCTTTAGCTTAGTGCTGGGAACCATGCTGCTATTCAAGGCAAAGCACTAGGAAATTGGCCACTGTTCCCTGCTAAACTTCCTGGAAAAGCACCTGCATTGCCAAAGTAACTTCTTGGTAAGGTATTTCATGGGAAAATACCATGCTGGACTGAGCAGTTTTTTTGACTAAGATTTTTGGTGTACCATCTTTTCTCCAAATGAAAAAAGTGCATTTAATCCTTTTTGGGCAAAGCATCTCTCTCAAACAGAATTGTTGCTTTTCATTGTTTTCATTTCCTTGCTCTAGAGCCTGTACTTGCCTTTGCGAAATTGAAGTGTTGTTTTTTTTTTTTTTTTCCCTTTGACTTTAAGTACCTGGCCACAGAGGAGACAAATTTGAGAGTTAATTGTACATTGTTTAATACTTATTCAATCTGTTTGCTAATTTTTGCCTCACATTAAATATTTCTACAGTTTTGCTCAATTAATAAAGCAAAAGCCATGTATGCTCTCTTGCAGGTACTTTTCATTTAGCTCAGCCTTGACAGAACAAGAGGAGTGCTTTGGAGGTGTGTTGGCAGCAAGCTGTTCTTTTTCATATGTTGGTCTATCATTAAGAGTTGGAAAACAAGCTATCAACCCAGTAATTGTGGAGGTGACAGGAGCTTCTCCTCTGAAGCTCTGGCACCCACTGGTGTGCAGCATCTCACATGGGGCTCACTTTCAAATGCTTCTGTCGTGTAATACAAAGCACAGCTCCAGTGAGTACAACTGACCTGGATCATTCAGAAAGTCCATCTACAGCATCTGGCTGGTTTTCTACTATGAGACACAAGCTGTCTGTGAATGAATGTGAAGTCAGGGCAAATTTATGGTACTTGCCCCAGGACCTTCTACTGCTTCTTGAAGTAGTTGTTAATTTAAGGAAGCTCCAAGGTGATTCTAGTGATAATGAGTATAAACTTCTAACTGGGCTGCCAAGAAATGCAGAGCACGTCTGTAAATTCAATGACTTACCAACTGCTCTGAACAGACAGAAAACATTTGTACACCCGCAGATATGCTATGTGTGTTGTGTACACTTCTTCATAATGCCTTGGGGAATCCTAGCACACTAATGTCTATGCTTTTATTTCTTCCTCCTGCATCTTTCAATGTCAGTAAAAATGTAAAATGTTTTAATACATCAGCTTCTATGTTTTATTTGGACTTTTTAAAAATTTATAACTAGTATTATTAACCCAGTAATTCTTTCAGAACAATAACAATTCAAGAAATTCTTCTTGCTTCCACATTGCATCTAGTCACAACAAAATATGAACACTTAACATCAGAAATCTCATGTGGTATATGTAAGTAAACAAAACCTAGGTGATAACATGCCTGGACTTTCTCTGTACTTGTTTGAATTCTTCCAGGAATGGGTTGCATAACAATTGTAATAGTTTCATTTTGTCTTGTAACTACTATAATTACTGTGTACATGTGCTTGAACTTAATTCCTAGTATTGACTGAAGACTAAATGAAGCAGGGTATGTATTGTATAAAGTCAATTATTTGCTATTATCAGAATTGAAAAAAACTTCACCATGTCAGAGAAGCTATTTAAGCAACCTTAATAAATCATTTTAGTCAATCTTAAAATAGTGCAAAACCAATTGGTCAATGTTAATTTGGCCAGTGGCTTACTACTTCTGATTTTAAAGATGGTTGGGTTTTGTTTTGTTTGTTTTATTTTTAGTTTGGATCTTGTACATATTATACAAACAGCTGTATTTTAGTCTGATTTGTGGAAATACTAATCCCTTTTTGTGTATTGTTCTGCCTAAATACCTCAGTGTTTTAGTTCCAAGCCCTTCCAACCAAACCTAACAAGCAGGTGTTAAAGTGGAGATTCTCTGTGCTAAAAATGGAAAGAGTGTATCAGCAGTTCACAGGGCAGATAAGAGGTAATTATTAGACTTCATTGTTGACTGTAGGAAATTAAGACTCTTGCCTAGCACTGTTTTGTTGTTCCTCCTGCTGAATTAGTAGTTACCTGGAATCAGTAAATTGATTTAGCATTGAAATATTATATTGAAATAGGCACAATGCTGCATATAAGAGATCAGCTCTGGACTTGTGCAGGAGCACAGCTCTAAATGTTTGGAGAACCTAAAAGTCATCTTTTTAAATGTGTCAGGAGAATGTACAAGAAAAGGGTGGTGGTGAAACGCCACAAACTAAATGATTTTTACCAAATTCCTGCCCAAGATCCAGGTTATCTGAGGTTATAGTCCTCTGCGGAGTTATAGTCTGTGTATTTATAGAATGAAATGTTACATTTGTGTTACAAATTAATTTCACAGTTGCGAAGATATTAAAAGTATTTTCTGCTGTTTGTTTTGAAAGGCATTTCATAATTTCATTTGAAGCAAGTACATAAAAATGTGAATATTTCTTAAGGAACTCTGCAGCAGTAGAAGAGAACAATTTATGCATAGTTTCTTCTAGCAAAGTTAGTGATAAGCATATTGATCACTGCGTCTGTCCCTTTTTAGAATTATTTCTACTATATAAAATGGTCTGTTCTTGTAGGAAAGACTTGCTAATACACTATGTTTAGAATTAAGCAATTCACTATTTAGAAACAAATTAACCCCCCTGAAATTTATCCCCCCCTCCCAACAACTAAGTTTCTTCTTCTGAAAGACCTTTTGCAAAGTAGTCTATATGTAAGTCTATTAAGGATGCCAAATTAATAAATGAAGTGGAAAGAGGAAAAGAGAGATTGCTCAAGCCATAGTAGGCTCTTAATTAAGGAAAAAAAACCCAGTGGTGATAGTGAAATATTCTGTCTTCATGTAAAAATCTGCATTTCTGAGAGAAATGCCTGTGGACAAAGCACACTCAATTATTTTGTAACCAACCAACAGCAGGAACTTCCTTATGAGAACAATAAGGAGGATAAAAAAGACTGGGCCCTGTTACTTTGCAGGCAGATGAGAGGATTTCAGCCAAGAAAAAAAAAAAAAAAAAAAAAAAAAAAAAAAAAAAAAAAAAAAAAAAACAAAAAAAAACAAACCAGAAAAGCAAGAGGTGCAACTGCAATTTTGAGCTTCATTTGAGCACAGGATGTCTGTGAGAGGCTTTGGAGCTGGCTATCCATTGCAAACCTGCTAAAATTCCTGTGTTTTCTATTCTTCACCATAACTGTTCATATGGTTTTGATAGTGCTGAGAGGAGTAATTTATTTTGCATAACTAACATAAAGGGAGGAATACTTTTTTTAGGAATGTTGATTCTTGAAAGCTCTTTACCAATGGTGCAGGAACCATTGGTGGATTAAGACCCCTACAGGGCAGTGTATGCTCTTGTTGGTACACAATGATGGTAAGACTGACCACAGCTGGGGTTTGAGAGGAGCAGAGCAGCAGTTCTTCTCTTTACTATTATATGAAAGGGGTCTAGGTAAGGTAACGAATGTTATTATCAATATTTTTCACATTATCTATGGATCTTATTGATGATGTAGTTGTGTTCTACACATGTCAGTCCAGGTTCTCTTACTGGGCTGGATCCTTTAAGTCAGCTTGCATGATAAGATGCAGCTCTCGTGTAGACAGAAGAATGAATCCAATTCATTCTTCTGCTCACTTTCTTTTTAGCAGAGCAGTTGTTTGGTAAATTGGCACTTCATCAAAATACAAATAATTTACTGTTGGTCACCTGAGGTTTTTTACAAAAAATATCAATGCTTATTTAGGTTTTTTTGTTTGGTTGGTTTTTTTGTTTCTTTTTACATTTCAGTCTCTTTTAATGCAATTCCATTTTCATCAGAATTGTTTCTACTGATGTTTTTTTCTTATGACAGAGTATAATTCTCAGTTGTTTGGAATCTTGTTAGTTATGGAACAATAATGCTGCATTGTGAGTCCATGAAATATTTTTACACTGTTTTGAATGTCAGGTACATTTTTGAGATATGCTATTTTGTAAGATATTCCTTAAATAAGTCAGAGGTGTTTACACACAGAAATGCTCTAGTATAGTTTTCACATGGTAAGCTGAGCCAC